AACGGTTCAATCAAAGAGCAGTATAAATGCACAGTGATTTTTATTTAATGAAAAGAACAATTTCTTCTCCGATGAATTATGATGATATTATAATGAAGAATTTTTAAAAATAAGATAATATTATTATCATTATGAGAATTAAAATATAATAAAAGAAAATCTAAATTCAAATTAGATTAAATTTTTTAATTATTCCATTTTTCAAAAGTGCATTTTGAGAGCATCATAAATATTAGATTCTGCTCATAAGTAAATCACAAGATCAAAAGAAAGAATTAACAAAAATATCAATTTTTTTTCAAAGATAAATTGAGTAATTAAAATTTCATGAATTATATTTACGTAAAAATTATTCAAAACCACAATAAACATCTAAATTCTCATGTCCAAAACCAAGATAATTTTCTTTGTCCAAAATCGATTTTAAAAGTCGAACCTATAATTCAGCCAATGTAAAAATAAGAAATTATATATTTATATTTAAGAACTATATTAATCCAATATTGAAGTGATATAGACTTGTATCTTAGAAAGGTTAGAGTTTGTTGTATCTTCTCACCGCATGTTCGGTGCAACGTGTCCAATCAGCAGTACTATGAACATACCAACTTCGAACAGCAGTTGCAGCCATGTACTTGTAGCACTTCCATTGGCTAGATAGCACCCTGACATCCAAGACTCACCAGCACGGAAGGCCCACAATCTGAGCAACTATTCGCCTCGTATTCGGAGACTGTATCATGGCGGCGCGGTTCAACATGTCAGTCTTGGCCCTAGAGCTCGAGGTGAAATCTGTGTTGAATCCGGGTTCATAGCGGTCAATGGTGAAGAAATGTAAATCTCGCAGGAAGTACCGGGGGCTTGTGCCCCAATGAGCCGAGCGTGCGATGACCTCGCGTGCCTTCTCCTCGAAACGTCTGTCGCTTCTGAGTTGACTCGACCGGCACATGCTTGGACGCGTTGGACATGAGCTCCAAACACAACGAGGGATGGTTTATCACACCCTTTTAGACATAGATCGAATTTCTGAACAACTTGGGCCACTCACTGAGACGGCCCTACATTGTGTAGTGACAATGTCTAGACCCGCTCGTTCTGAACAAGCGCTTCAGTGGCAGCATGAACGCCCGGATACCCGCAGAACAGACGCCATAGTTTCAATGGGCCTTCCCCCTCTGACGTCCCCAAGGGCTGATCGGAAGAGGCGTCGGAATTTTGGAGTCGTCGGCCTGGATAAGTCGAATCTTTAACGGGGGATAATGGTCTCTTAAAGGCCACCGCACATTCTTTGCATGTGGGAACGTATGCCGAGGAATGTCCAACTCTAAAAGAAACACGAGATAAGACAAAAAGACTGAGAGAGTCTTCTCAGATATATCAATGCTGCATACATCATATCACGAATTGTTCTTCCAGCGATGCTTCGGATGTATGGAAAGAACACATCTGTAGGTATCTGCTGAGACAGGCCATTCTCATAGAAATAAAATCAGATCAAGGGCACCATGAACACTCTACCGTAGTTAGTTTTTCCTGTTTTGGGCGACTTTATCCTTTCCCATGACACATCCTTTTCCTCGCGATCGGTGCACAAGTTTCTGTGGCTGATACTCTAAAGATCAAAGCTATACTATCTCGGAGATCCTAGTTTTAATTCAATATTTTAAGACACAGATATTACTTGCTTACATATTACAATGAAGAGTGTCGTTTAATATAGAATCAATCTGACGTCGATCTGGTGGATAACTCTCCTGGTGATGAGATGAGTTTCTCACTGAATCTGGCAATAGTGATGTTTTTCTCTGAAGAAGCCACATTCGAATCCATAGTTTAGATGGATGAATGAAGCAATTTTGCTAGATTAGGCAACTGACGACAGTGCGCCTAGCTCAAATCAGAAGCGATTGTCAGTTTAGAATCAGTTGATGAATAATTCATGCGTGAATCTCAGCCCGAAACATGGACAGAGGATTTCAGAAGAAAGGCGGTGTGGGGCATGATGTATCCTACCAGGACTGGAATTGCAAAAAAATTTGCATGGTACCTGCAGATGACCGTATACTGATTTGCGGCAAAGCTCATGGACGTTAGAGTCTTCCGCAACCGCTAAGATTCATCTCAATAATTAGTGCTACAAATATCACTGTCTATATTTGAAATCAGAAAGGTGTGTTTCCAATCAAGTTCGTCGAAAAATTTCGCTAAAGGAGTCCTGTAATCCAAAATACATATCTGAATGGATGAACCCCTTGAATGTAGGTTCCTACTATATTGATTAAAAAATGTGGACATACTGAGCGTAGTTTGTTATGTTCACTACGACGATAAAATTTTGGCCTTATTTTCCTTCAGTGTACCAACTATAGCCCTTTACACGCCACCTGCTTAAGTTCCTGTACCGTGAATGGAAACTTGCAGAAGCTTTCTGTCACCGCACAGGAAGAATCGAATCACATCTTTGGACTTGAATAATAGTGCTGAGTCTGTTGACTCATCAGCTGCAAGATATCAATCCAAAGAATGAATGCTATCTACAGATAAGCCTGGAATGATGAAGTCAAGTAAGTGAACACATGTGATGTTGTTCGGAGTGTTTGTTCCCTTGGCTTCGGTGAGTCGCTTAATTTGTCCATTGACATTTTTTAGAATATAAAACAATGACAGCAGCCTCATAAATAATAGGGAAGAATTCTATATGTCAGAGTAACTCAAGATGGTTCTCAGCATTACAGATCATGTCTAGATATTCACGTAGGATATCTGGTCAGCCGAATCATTTCCGATGATACATCAGTGGACCACGGATGACACTCAATGTGGTTGAATTTCACTTGCTAGCTGAATTCTTTACATTGATATTTGTTCAGAAATTAATATTTTGACAGCATGATTAGGAAGATTATGTAGGCAGGTATGATTATTCCAAGCTGGCCTCTCAGTTTTACAGATAGTGGCAAAATATAACCTTAGGATATCTGATCAGCCTAATCATTCCTGATCATACATCGATGGACCACCGTTAGACATTCACCGTGGTTTGATCCACTTCAGTGCAATTTCGAAGTAGCCCAATGGAAGCGATGACCATGAAAGGAATTACTCGCAGAAGCTACGTATATGACTAACTTACAAGAACGAAAAAGGGGACATTCACATCATCGGCTGAAGTGCACTGGAACCTACTGGAACCTACTGGAAGTCGGATATTATCCAATCGAAGATCCATAGATAGTTGATGTGATCTTCTGATCCAATCTGCAATGTTTCCTACTGTCTTTCCTACTCGGAAATCTGTGCGTACGTAAATGTTACAATCCATAGCTCGCAGTACATGCGAGGCGGCTTGTGTCTGACTGATGAGAGCGTGCGCAGAGCTCGTGGACCTCCTCCTCCTCGTCCTCTTGGGAATGCACGTCTTTTCTTGTTGACTCCGATTCACGCTTTCTGATGAGCGCTTGACGTGGGCTTCACAAAACTCGTACACACCACAAGCAGCACCGATAGGTAGATTCTCCCATTCAGTCGGTCGGAAAGGCAGGGCCGACAACGCAATTGCTGTTCATGGCCTGAGGTAGACTTAAGGGAGGCGAAACTTTAAATAACACCGAACAAAGGTCTGCAATCTGAGGCTCTGACATCTCACACGTTCTCCCACCATACAAGTGTTTTGCGAGAAATTGGAGCCATTTTAGCACCCTGTCCGGCTATCTTTGGAGCTGGTCGCTTTTAGAATATACCTGTCCTGATGGCACCTTCCTCCGTTCATGTACTCGTCCTGTCCTTTCCTTTCCAAAACTTCTGTAGCTCTGACGTTTGTGAAGAAAGCCAGGCCAAGTGGATAACAATTAATGATGAGAAGATCCCGTCCAGACGTACGACGATGAAAAGAAGCGGGTAGCAGTGGCTAGCCCCAACAGTGGTCACAAAGGAAATATGTCTAGTTTTAGAACATTCGTGAAGTTGCCGAAAAGGGTCATCTGTGAAGTTTATGAAGAACGATGATGTGCCATTGGAACGCGCAGCATGGGTATCTAGAATGATGACTCCTGTTAACTTAACTTCTCTTACGCTAAAACTCTCAATGCCTATCCGGCAAAACGGGAAGGTGACCATGATGCAGAAATTTTATTTGGATTTTTGTACCGCAGATTGACTGTCTAGGATCTACGCTTTTCAATTATTCTACTCTGGACAAGGATCAGAACCAGATGGAATATAACAGTCTCTAGAATCGATTGTAGATTGGCACAGAGCCTGCTGCATTTCCATATGCTTAAATCACGGGTTTGAGACATCTGCCGACAAATTGGCACGACACGCAAGCCTGGAACGTGACCTTAGGATGGCTGCGCATGCAGTGATCGAATGGTAGGATTTGACACTCCTGTCGTAATTGAAATTAGCTGGAAAAAAGTTCGGATTTCCTTGTCAGATTTCAAAATTCGTTCCATATATTTTTTAGTTCACTGTTCAAGCTGCGGCTCACTATGGTTGGTATTCGTGATGACATGCTTCACACTACTATCAGAAAATATGTTGGAAGACCTTTTCACTGCTGAAAAAGCTCTCCTCTCTCTATCGGCTTAGATACGATAATTCGTTCAAGGCAAATTTCATATGATGGATATCTTTCACTGGATACAACTTTATTTACTGCAATTCGTCGTCTGTCAAATATATTCTTCAGCATTTTGTACTTTTGAGCGTCACCATAAAAAAAACAGTACTCAGTTTCACAAACTCGGTACTCAAGTTTCGAATTGGAGGCGCAATTCATGATTCCCCAATTTTTATCTTCAACTGAACTTCAACAGCATGACGTTGAAGTTCAGTGACATCAGGCTGTGATGTCAGCTTTGGAGCTGTAGGTTTGACCAAAGATATAAGTTCAGGATACGTAAGTTTCTGTTTGCAATACAGAAAGAAAATTGCGAATTAATGCGGGAATCGTGCTCATGTAAGTAATACAGCAGTACGAAAGAATTTCAGAAAACGTCGAGAATTTGATTTATTGATGTATAAGCCTTTATATACATTGCTTCTACAAAAATGCAACTCATTCTTCCCCAATCATGCTCACTTATTATTGCGTAATCAGGAGTAGAAACTGGAAGATTGGGACTAGAGAGTTGTATTGATGTGCTTCTCATCTCGAGACTTGCTGCAATGACCTTTGTTGCAGAGTTGCTGCACTTGCCAGTATGGAGCCTAATACTTCCACAATTTTTTCTTCTTCCAGTAGGGATGTTGCAACTACTGCCTTGAAGAAAATTTATTCATAATTCATATCCATGTTTGGATTTTCTCTCAAAAAACCGAGGCCTAGGCGTACAAAGTTCTTACAGCTCAAAACTGACTGAGTGGTAATGGAAAGCAACATTTGAGTTGTTCAAGTTGGAGTGATGCTTGCATTCGGCTGCAACATCTGCCTGCATCTTAGAGGCACCAGAAACCAAGACACCTACGTTCTTCCCTTCATACTGCTTCGCCATGTCGCCAAATAACACTGCGTCCAAGAATTGTGAGTCATACAAATTGTGAGTCACACAGAGTCCAAGAAGAGTAAGACAAGCCAAATGAAACTGGAAAATATTGTCAACTAAACAGTACTTCGAATTTACCTTTCCAGCTCGGTCTTTGGCCCAAAGTTACTTGTCCCTCCCATGAAGTGTGCTGAGAGGCTCGGAGCTCAATGTCTCCACCACTCGGCTTGTGCTCTTTTACGGGAGAAGGCGGGAAGGAGTTGGCCAGCTCTTGTGTGTGGGTTTTGGATGATTTCCTCTTTTGAGTGTGAGCCCATATCATCAAAACTGCACCTCCGCACCCGACCACTGAAAGGAGCAGGACAATGCAATAAAGCATTGCCCGGTTGTAGTTTGTGAGCTTTGCATAGGTACCAGTGACATTGATGATTCCGAATATCACAATGTATCCTAACATAGTTGCAAAGAATGTGGCTGCAACCCATTTGTCGTCTCCTGTCCCTGCCAAAATAGACATCTGTCGGACTACTTCAAGTGGGGGCCCAATGTACTGCTTCGGAGCCTCGTTCATGTGGGTGTAGCTATAGTGCTGGTAAGGTACAACGGCCTCCGAGTAATTCATCTCTTCATCTTTACTAATTTCCACTCTGGACGTAACATATACATGAACCTTTATGTCTACGTGGTCCTGGTAATCCGCAAGAATCTCGCTGGGTTTGATCGTGTCCAGAAGACACACATCCTTTTCATTTCGAACACAGAAAACCAGCTGAATGGAGGTGGGTAAATGATCTTGACGCAGCTTGTGTCGGTGGAGGATGTCTCGAAGAATTGCAAGGAATGGGGTCACACCAATACCACCTGCTACCAGAACCAGAGAATTGTACCTGGAAAGTGAAATATTTTTCAGTAAGTTGCTAGATTCCGAGCTACATAAGTAGAACAAATCAAAGACCAAGCGCAAGCGAGACTACTCACTTCAGATAAAAGTTCGACTCGTCACCGTAGGGTCCTTCCAAATTGAGTTTGAATCCGAATGGGCATTTCAGCTTTCCTGCCTCCTTATGGTGTTTGGTGTCTATAAGGGCATCGTGGATGTCCTTCGTGTAGCTTCCCAGGGGTTTGATGTATATGCAGATCTGGTTCGTCTCGTCAAGTGGGCTAGATGCTACGCTGAATGGATGCCATTCGTACTTGGAGATGCCAGGAACTAGTACGTACATGAAACTCAGAGCGTTGTATTCTAGATCTGCCAGCCCAGTTCTTAGACTGTTAGACAAGCAGCAAAGTAATCACAGAAATCGGGAAAGAAATGCTCCTGCAGATGAACACATGAGTGCCCCTAGACGATCGCTGGCAAGTGGATCAATCGACACTGCAATTGCTAAGTGTACTTACTGTCTGGCTTGGCGAATTTCAGCTCGATGGCACCGGAGGGTAGTACTTTAGTTGACAAAATGTCAACAGATTTTTGAGATTGCACCATTCGGATAAATCGATCGAGGAAGAAGAGCAAGATTGGGGTAACGACGTAGACCATCTGTGAGACGCAGTGGAAGAGGAAGAAGAGCAGAAACACGAAGTAAAGGTGGTGCGTGAGGAAGAAGAGATTGAAATGATTCCGTCGTACTCTTTCGAATGCTGTGACGAGCATCAAAACTCCTGCTCCAAGGGCTATAATTCCTGGAAAGAAAGCAATTCCCTTGTGCTGCCACATCCAAAGCTGCAAAATGAAGCGAGCCACGATCGATTAGTAAATTTCCCCAACGGGCATTGTCAGCAGTTGAAATTAACTCTTGTTGCAAGTAGTGGGAACATCTACGTAAAAATTTAAACGCTGCTGTAAATTTCAGAGGCTTGAAAGCCCTTATTAATTACCTCTGAGGTGTGATGTATTAAAGGGAAATACGCAAAGAACACAATTCCATGAGCAATAAGTATCCACACACACATCAGGCCAAGCCATGTATGGTATTTAACAGCTCGCTCGAATGGAACACCGGTGACGCGCAGAAATGGTGATCCTCTGGATACTGGTATCCAGAGAAGAGCGAAAGGAATTAATGCTGCCTTGCCGAGATATACGCCGATGGACTCCATTTTCTGTTGGCCTCTGCAGTCATCATAAATAAGCGCAGGGATGAGCAGTGTCGGCCTTATATTACGTTTTGATGAGTGGTCTAGTAAATGTAGGCAAACAATGAAGGCGAACCATGAAGATAGAGCCTATTATATTACTTGCAGGATCAGATGGTCTTACCGGCTATGTGCTCCCTTCTTTTGTTTTGTATTGTCGATACGATTGCTTCTGTCCACGGACATCTTGATGAAGTAGAAAGCGATGAGAAAAATATTTACAAAGAGAAAGATTATGTCGGCAAGGGTGAGCATTCCCAACGGGCTTTTCAGAATTACAGGTTGCGACCATATATTCAACTTTGGTTTCTGGTCTGCCGAATCGTTTCTGGAAAAGTTTCACAACAGACAGAGGCCAGCGTTAGAATGTAGTCATTCTGTCTTCTTGTCGAATACAATAAGCCCCAATGTAACAGACGAACCATTTCACCTACAAAATCTGTTATTTACAATCTTGAAGAAATCTCACAATCTCACCGAGGTGAACATAACAGAAAGAGACTCACCTCACTGCAGGTTTGATTTTCCTCTTAAGTGCTATAGCAAAATAGCTGAGGAAGGCAATCACCATGAAGGGGAATACTTGCAGAAGCCAAGTAGAACCTGGAGACAGGTATATTTTCAGTCAGCAAATTGGAAGTGACTGCCTCATGGAATGCTAATAACTTTCAAAAGGGAAGTATCCTAACTCATTGCTTAAGCAACAAACCTCTTGTTCCGAGAAACTTTTGCGAGATATGCTCATCCGCCTTACGGATCCAATTCCTGGCCGTCTCAATTGGCTGAAGGAACCAGAACATCCACCACCATATGAAGGCGAGGCCCATCAGCACTTGTAGTGCCAAACTGGCCTGAGATGCTCCTTTCACGTAAGTCGCCATTGCTGCACTTTCTTTCACAAGATGATATACCTCTGGACCGTATAGAGCTCCTAGGTGAGCAGAGATGTCAAGGTACAGACCTGCTCATTTCCAAATCCCACATTAGATTGTTTACGTCTGGAAATTCAAATACATCCACATGAGAGAAGTGTTTGAATATTGGGAGCTGCAGTTTAACAAGCACCAAACTTACTGGCTCGTCATGAACCTCCCGAGCAGTAGCATAAAAGATTATAGAGTACTATATAACTGCAGAGAAGTTGCGTTGCCAGACATGTGAAGCCAGGCTTAACTACTTCCGTCAGAACATTCCTCAAGATCCCGGGCTACAAACTGCTGAAAAAGAGATCGCGCCTGCCGAATTTATAATCCTCACAACAGAAGACAGGTGCATCATGCCGAGCCTGGAATTCAGAGCTTTTCGTGTTCGGGACCTGTTATTGCGGCGCAACCAGAGGCTAGTCAGTTTACTTCAACCCTTTGGGATTGTATGTTTCACTCGAACTGTTTGCGTGATTGACAATTCTCGGCATCCATGCATTGCGGCTTGTGTCCGAGCAAGGCAGGCGTAAGCTGAGCTCGTGCTGGGACCTCTCTATGTTCTGTCCTTTCCAAGTTGACCAGCAGAGGACTTGCCCACAGTGCAACCTATGTGCTCTCCAGGCTATATATATCAAGAGTCAAACCCGATTCAGTTTAACATACTCGTGGATAGCAAATTCTGCCCCTTAGACACGGATGGTATAGATGTATAGATGTCGAGTAATCATGTGCCACTACGAGATTTTTATCCGCACTTGAAGCTCTAGTGGTGGAGGACGGTCGTGTCCGGGAACGGTCGTGTCCGGGACGGTTTGTCCGAGGGAGGCTAGACCTCGTCGAGGTCGTAGAGAATCTTCCAATTATGAGTTAAGATCCTCTGCAATAGCAAGGTTTTCGGTCGTGAAACTCGGGTCCAAAATTGGTAAGTTCTACATGAAACATGCGGATCGTAGTAGGAGCCCGGAAGATCGGTTTACCCCTCTCTATATTAACGCAATCAGGCTCAGATAATTCTTCATTCCTCGTCCGTACAGACTTCAACAACCTCTTCTCAAAACAAAATCAGGAAACGGAGAACAGGAATTATCATCAAAATCCTCCATCACTGATGGAGGATACTGATGGACCATCAGTATCAATGTAAACTCCTCTTCCTAGGAATGGCAATATAGTGAATTGATGTTGGGTTCTGTACATTAATTACCAGTAATGAAGAGATATAGCCTGAGGAAATGTCATTTAGACTGGAAGCAATAGTCCTGCTGTAACAGCATTGATCACATCGTCATGCCGACAGAGGAATATAATTATATCCATCTGCAATGACTTGATTCGGTCCTTTGATAGGCTGAATCACAGGCTGTGAAGCCGTGTGTCACGTTCGTACGAAGTTCGTACTCGGAAGACCGATTCTATTTCTTCAAAGTGTCAATACACTTTGCATCATATATCCAGATCTACGATCATGAGCATTCTAGATTAGAACAGTAAGCTTTCGAGATTAACTGCTTGTGCTTCTCGTACTTTTTCTTAACGTTCGTCCCACTTTGCATATATCTATGCAAACGTCGTCTGAACTAAAAAACGCTGCCCTGTTCAGAATGCAACAAAATCTCTTCACTAATAGCTTCCGTTCCTCAAAACGCTAACGTCTTCCAATTTTTAACAAAGTATCTTCGTAGAAATTAGTCCTGAAATTTGAGTTCCTTCAATCCATGTGCAGCTGATGAACTTCGACAGTTGGGGCCTTCAGTACCTTGATCTGATACTCTGTAGAGGATGTTGAGATGAAAATCTTCAACTTGACTGCAGAATTCCGTGTCAATCTGGAAGATTGACGCAAAGTGGTTCGATTCCTGGTTGTAGCATTGACTTTGAAAGACGAGTCTTACAATGACACACCTGCTCAAAGATTCTGCAAGGCGGAGGAAACTGACCACAGTGTTGGCCTGAGAATCGTCTAAATTTGAAGATCTCGGTGTTCTGAAATTATGACGGACACTGTCTTGTGCATGATCCGAATTGATTTCGTGGTCATCGCTCAGAGCTATCCACTTGCTTCACAGTACAAATCATCCGAGAAGAAATATCGACTGTCAGTGCGGCTTCCTCTAAAAATAACAGCAGATCGATTTTTTGTGCCATCGCGGAGCAGATTTGAGCAACGAATTCGCACCGCAGAAAGCAGCCCGTTGCAAGCACGTGCTGGCTTGTGACGAGTGACTGTCTCAGATTCTCAGTCTTTCGTCGAAGTTGCGTACGGTTTGTATTACACCTGTCGTAATTCACTCGGCTTTCAGAAGAAGCTTTCGAAGCCATCATCTGTTCTTGTGAAGGTGGCGGACACAGTGAAAGACCAGAAGGGATGCGGTCTAGTCTGAAGACAGTGACTCTCCATAGATTGACTGCCCTATACATTTCTACGTGCCTCCGTTCATGGGTCACCTCCAGCATCATGTACGGGTCCATGCTGCAGACGCGGACCATGGGCAGTACCTGACCTTTCGGGAATGAAAGGTGCGAGTCATGGAGTTCAAATTCCAACTTCTACCACACACATTTACCGAGCAGCCTGCAAATCTGTCGACTGCGTAAGTTTGTATGTCAAAGTTATCATCGAATGTCGAGCCTATATTTTCTGATGGGCATCCATCATTTTCTTGTAAAAAGATATTATAATAATTGTTTCGAATCTTTCAGTTAATATCATGAGAATAGGAGGGGTTCAAGGTTTAAAACATTAACCATTATAATACGGTTTGCCGTGCAACTAAGCATTCTTGTATCACCTTTCTGGTGGTAAACTTCAACAAAAGTTTACAAATATATCCTTTCATGTACTCTGATTGATGAACAAAATAGTTTCGGAGTAGGTGTAAGTGGGTAATAGAATTTAATAAAATTCTATTACCCACTTACAGTTTATGAACAGCTACTCCGAAACTTAGAGAGGTGATACTCAGAATTTGACAATTGTGGTCTATAAACTCCCTCCATCTCTATGTGGAGTCGTTCAAAGCCAAACCAAGAAGGCAAACAAAACAGATGGCTCAAACCATGTGCCATAAGAAACCCAGTACCCTGCATGCGAATTAGGGGTTGTAAAGCTGTTCCAATGACTGACAGTCAGAATGTAAATAAACTCTTGCATTAGATTGCATGTTAGCGAAAATGCGTTTTAGCTTATAAAGGAAATTATAAGTAATACGTATAATAATTTTAAGACCGTCTACCCATGCAGTGTGTATTAAGTGCAAAAAATAACAAATGATATATGCTACGCTGCAGTTGGGTTATTACAAGGTTTTGAAACCTTCGAAATTATTGTCTGAAAGAAATTATGATAAATAATTTTAATTAACACTTGTTAGGTCAGTTTCATGAGGGAAATTTTGAATTGTATTAACGTATTTTAATCCATTTTTAAAGGATTATTTTTCTTTTCTTACTCAAAGAGTAGAGCGAGGAGAAAACCTTCCCAGTACTCTGCCCGTGAACATACTTTACCTCGGGTATGAAGCAACCTTGTACGAGGTCTCCCAACAATCTCAGCCTTTGACGGCGAGACAGCGATGGCCTTCGTTTTCCATTATATTATTTCTATTATTTAGCCCATTGTCTGAGTTCGAGTAAATCGTATGACAAGGAGACTGACTGTAGAGAGAGCCGCTCAGCTAATTGGCATCTGCAGTTAACTGCTAGTTTCAGGATGTGCATGATTCTCATCCGTAGCATAACAAGATACAAGCAGGTCCAGTGTTCAAAATTTATTACCAATTCCATCACTGCTCAGAATCCTTACGATTACCTCCGACGCTTTCCGTCTTTATTATGTTCCCTTCGAGTCTTGCCTGATTGATTCACACTGGAACGAAGCACATATGACTATTTGCCCTACTATGTTCATTCTGAAAGGTAAACACTCCATTTACTACTGCACATACTGGACACTTGGGACTGCAATCCGTGCCCTGCAATTGCAATTTCCGTCGAGTGAAAAGCTTGAGCTCGATGACTGCAGACTACGTCTGCAGTCTCAGGTTTCAATGCTTGAAACATTCTGACATCATGGGAAAACTTTCGGACAATCAAGATCTGCTATTGTAACAGGTCAATCGTTCACTCTCCGACGACTTTATAAAACTCCGTCATTCAACTAGACATACAGATCGATCGAGAACACATGGAATCGAGAGAAAATCTGATAGACGTCGAGCACAATGCTTCGCAGTCGGTGGTAGCGATCTCAATCTCAACCCACGTATGGAAAGTTGTGAGTTGCACTCGAGCTCGCGGGTGGCGATACTTATAGAGAGCAGTTGTACCCGGACGGACTACTTACTTGCCCCTTTGAAACATGAGTGTCCTCAAGTGACGTTGTTTGTGGGAGTGTGTGCGGAACGAGTACGGTCAGGAACTCCTGCATGCTGTCAGAAGCGGCCTGTGTATGAGTACGGAGAACACAAGCTCAGCACATGCAGATCTTCTCATTTATCTTGGCGCTTTCGGGTTGACCACTCGCGCACACTCTCGGGCGAGTCGGACATGGGCTTTACTCGAGGACTACCGAGTTTGCCATGCAAAACGATTCTGAGTAGTTTAAAGCCAACAGTTTGGTAAATGTACGAAGAGGAATGCTCGGTGTGTCATTTTATGTTTACACGGCGTCCACTATGCTTTGCGTAGGTTCATCTGGGTGAGGTGTCTTCAATCGCTTGTTTTTTTGTCGTTCGGGTTTTGTCAATAATAGTTAAATAGTTAGCTTGTTCTATGAGCCCAAACTTCGGCTGCGCATGCGGTAAAGACCAGGGGAATGAAGTTGGGTTGGATTCATAGATCCATTTTTTAAAATGAAATTGGGAGGTGATGCTAGTTCTTATAAACTTGTTGTTCAGACTCGATTGACAGAATTGTTTGAATTCCGACACAAATGATGTGACATAGCAGTTAAGAACGGAATTGAATATCTATTAACAAGTTTGTTTTGCTTGCCCTGCTCAGCGAGACTGGCTACTTATCCCCCGCTAATCATGGTCACTACATGGTGTGCTGGAGGAGATGCAATTTCGAGAGACATAAAACAGACATCCTTTTGATGAATCACTTGTTCCTGAGATCATGACTCTCGTGCCCTCATTCGTAACAACAACCAGCCATTTTACAAACAAACTCACAGCTTGAAAATTGCTACTTGAACATGCTAAATCTTCTCATCTTCTGTACCAACTGCCCCCAATCTCAAAGTAGCAGTCCACTTACTTAGCCCCGTAATTTCCGAGATTCTCTTAAAAAGTCGGCATTATCAAAATCAATGATCATGAAACACAGAGTTCCCAAATTACAAGTATTTACATTTATATTCTTAAATGATAGTCATGAAATTGAATGACACGGAATTCGAAATCTTCATGATTCACCATGTCATTTTCAAGTCTCTTTGGTCCGATCACAACTGATTATAAGCATGCGCTCAGATTCGTTCGCAAAGTTTTTCTTCGAAATCATTTTGGATGCTCACTTAGTCATTCATAACAAGCACATCTCATCAGTAAACAGTCCTGACAACATTCAGATCCAGAAGGTGATAATGTATTTTATCTTACACAAGAATCGAATTATCTGGAAAAATTTGGCAAATAGCGACAGTGAAGACTGTGGAAAAAATTTCATGACACAGCTGTCACATGACCCGTTGTCCCTCGATTTGCTAACAGACATAGCTTCTTATGCAGTTCATATTGGCGTTGTGAGCAAGAACTGTTATTTAAGGATTTGACTGATTTGTGTCATTTCGCATGTGTCTTCTATAGACACAAAATCTGTAAAAAATCTCAACTTGGCCAAGAATATTATAGGCTCCGGGCTTCTTCATGAAATGTAAATTCAACTCTCCACGTAAAATTCGCAAAGCTGTGTGTTCAGTTCCCAAATTTTTTTACTACTCACCAAATCTCTTGGAAGAACAGAGTAGTCAACTTCAAGTGACAAACCACGAGTAAAAGTCTGTCGCAAGGTTTTTGAACACATGACGCTCACTTGACTTACTAATTGCTCGCTTCAGCTCATTCTGCATCTGTATTCATTAACGGTCGATAGTTGAATGATAGAAACTATTTGCAGATAGGCCTACGGTAGGATTATTTCTAAATGATGGAACCTTAAGGATCCACGTTCATCAAGTCCGATCACTGCATTTGAATGCATGGCTAGAGTGCATTCCTTGGGAGAGCCCCAGTTATACTTAAAGCATACAAAATAGATGCAAAATGCATGCATCAGGTCTGAGGACTGAAGAAACAACCTAATGACTTTCTGACCGACCTCACACAGATAAACCGTTACTCAGGATCACGATACATTGCCTGCACACATAATATGGGCGAAGCCGCCTCTTGGAGAGCTTATCTGACAACGATCTCACAATGGTTCGTTTTGAGCTCAAATTATGTCGTCCATAGAGTAAAACAAGGGTTCAGATATGGTCAACAGCAGTTTAAAGCTCGACTTCATGAGCGTTTAAATTTTGAGTAGATTAGCTTGTTATCAAGATATCCACCAGGATCTGATCGATGTTTCCTCTGATCGGTGATACATGACCAGGATGTTTTCAGTATGAGATGTGTAATCAGCGCATCGATCTCTAAAGCATCTGTTGTGTATTCAAATTGATGAATATCTGGATCTTCTTTGATTTTCAGTGTATTGAATCTTGAGGTATGACTTCTTTGTTCTTAGAAAGTCTTGGAAATGTTTCATTCATCGAAAGAAGTTTTTTATCAAAACTTTTGTTTTTTTGTTCATCATATTAGATATGTTGATTCCTGGAACCAAGTGAAAATTCTCATGTCCAGGTCTCGTGCCACTATCTCTTGTGCCGTGGAGAATAGCGTTGAGGGGCCTCTCAAGGTGAGCTCAAGTGCCTGTAAGTGCAGCTTTCGCATGGTATTGGCAGTATTGGTCTGTGCAGTCAATGAAGATATTCGGAAGTGGGTTCGAAGATGGACTCCAACTTTATTGGAACATGCTGTCGATTATTCAAAATCTCTGAAATTTATGCCAGTGGTATCCAAGGGCAGCAAGCTGGATACTAAACAAGTTAGCAAACTCAACAAACGTGCTGAAAGACGTCTGTCTGTCACCTATTTTTTTCCTTGCAGGTTCTAAGTCTCTATTTCAAATTTTCCCTGTCACCCTGATTATGTTCATGATCAAAATTCAACTTTGTGATTGAGATCACGGAACTGAATGTGACGTAATATCCACGAGAAGCTATAACATGGCATCGTACATAAAGCAAACAAGAGCCGGTGGGCAGATTGAACCTCCAAGGCTAGTCCATAGACCAGCTAAAGATCGATAGAGTTCAGAGCTTACACTTTACTCGATCTTTACCAACCAAGAAGGAACTGACAAAGTTTTTGCGTGAAACAAATCACGGTATGACAGCCAGCTATGATTGTCAATATAACAAACGAAGTGAAATTGAAGCATTGTAGTCTATCACAGTCAAGGATCGGTGGTATTTTATCTCTTTTCCAATATAACCTTGTCTTCTCTTTCCCGTCCTTCAAACTTGGGTTAAGAGAAACTCTACGAATTCTTTCAAATCAAAACTGTGTATAGAAGGTACGTTGGAGAAGACGCAAGGCGTCGAGATCATCCCCAGGGTAGATGAGCTTCCGATTAAATTTCTATAAATCCTTGATGGGACTTTAATGTGTATGCTCCGATCTATGTGTCTAATATTTGGCACATTATCTGATGTCACTGAGATAAGACTAACAATGATATAAAAGATCCTTTCTTTTGTTCCTTTCACAGGAACGAGATTTCAGAGATGAAATCCAAAGTGCGCGAATAAGGTCACAATATTGTTTCTGAAGAGTATGCAGCCTAGCATTCTCTACACTCTCCAATATCATTATCATTCTTATCAGCGTTCTCCTCGTTATTTGCTATTTCACCTGGGGTTGTAGCAAGTAGTTCTTATTAGTCTCCAAGTTATACTTCTGGAAAACGTCGATAATATCTATATCGTGCTTGAAAAAGCAAATTTCACCAGATCATCGCTACCTCATCAAGTCATCTTGTTCCTAAGTCGGAAGAGAGTTAGTTAAGTCACTGGGTGATCAAAGTCAAAATAATTGTCATTGAAGGATCTGAGAAAAACTTATATACATAAGTAAATTTCTAGTGCACGTTGTTTAATCGAGAAAGATTAGTGACTTTCTTGACACAAGTTTTGCTATGCTGATTTTAAAGAGAAGTTCATGCTTTATAGGAATAATTTGGTGTTAAAGCAAAACTCACAAGTGGACCTTTCTCGTCATCTTAGTCCTTAAAGATATCTAACGCCGACAAGATATTTAATGTGATTTTAATAGTCAACCTATTTAATTACCAAGATTGATGGAAGTCAAGAAAAGGCCATATTTTTAAATAATAGACTCACAGCTTTCAATCATAAGAACTCTTAACTATTAAGGACAAAGGTGACCCTGAAAGCTCAAAAATGATTATGTGAGCTACCATGCATATAACGACCTCCCAAATAGGAATATGTAAAAAAACAATTGTGTTACTGTTCAAAGCAAACAAATATAGTACATTGTAGCTAAGCCACTGACCTAGTAATCTCACCACGCGCAACTAAAGTGGGCACCTCAAAGATGTCTGATGTCTCCACCACCCACTTCATCTCTCCAAAGATGCCGATCGTATAAAACTTAGATATTGCACTGGAGAGTGCAAAATGAATGATCACCAAATTGAAAGTCTAGGGTGAATAGTAGATAGAGGAGACATTCGAGAATGACCTCGATGTGCCACATAGATGTGTATGATCAATCATTGTGCGACGTATGTCTATATAATAATCTCACAGGGCATCTCTAATGGGTGGTGGAGCGTTAAGACAAAATATCTCACGATGGCCGAGGTATGAGAAGGATATGGTGCATGGGAAGCGCAGACAAACTCAATATTTGAAACATGGAATAAGAAAGATACCATATGTCAATCTAGAGACTTTGTATCTCCATTACTCCCATTCAAAACTGTCTGTCGGATGTAAAGCATGTTACATAGTCAAGCGTCACTGGATTGATGTGCTGTCACCCGGTCCAGTCAGTCACTCTCAAATAGTACGCTGAATTCGAATCAACTTAGCAGTTCATTGTAGAAAATAATCGTATTGTGAAGGAGATAAGCAGCACTTAGGGAAGATAAGATTCTGACTAATTCTAATACGAAGACAAAACTCTGAAATCAGAATGTCAATTCACATAGAGTACACATTTAGGAATGGATTGCAAGACGGAAACTGAACCATCATTTGATGCATTGTAAACTGATTGGCTATGCTGCGCGAGATCTTACGTACGGCGACTTGTCATCAATCATATATACCTATCACAGATTCTGCACTCAGAGGTCTATAGCAAAACCATGTGCAGTTAAAAGATCTTCCAGAAACCTAGCGAGATGGCCGAGAACCCCATAGAAACAACTAAACCTTCAAATTGAGTTTATCACGATACAAATTATAACCACCGACCGCATCTGAACGTGGAGGTGCCTGTGAAAGACAATGATGATACTGACAACTTCAAGCTACCTGAGATCGATACGAAGCATACAATTCTGTCGCAGGGCGATGGATTTCTTATAAAATCCTAGCCCGGTCCACCTTTGAGCCTCATTTAGAGGCTCAAAGATGGACGGGGCTAGAATCGTACACGATGATTCTCTTTAAGTGTCAACGTGTACTATCAGAGTACAAGCCTTCGTACGACTTTCCATGCACGTTTGTCGTACGTGCTAGAGCGGTAGGTATACATTAAGATCGATACGAAGCAAACGTGGAGGTACTGGTGCAAGACGATGATGATGGCGGTATCTTGAAGTTACATGACACCGATTCGAAGCAAAAAACCTGACCCAGGCAGAAGAATCTCATATACTCTGAAATCTATGGGGCACAAACATCTCTGAGTAGAATTAGTTCAGATTGGTACACGAGAGTAAACTTTTGGTGTCCAAGTGTACTGACAAAGTACGAGTCGTTAGTACGAGCTTTCAAAGTGCACGCACGATTGTCGTACGTGCTACAGCAGTTAGTCTTCATTGTGAAGTCGAGTTGAGAATCATCAAAGTTGGACGTACAGGAGATTGTGAAGGTCCACCCATGTCCACAGTCCGGTATATTGGGGCGACCTTCCAGCTCGACTGCGCGATAGACTCAGCGAGTAATCGGGATAACTGATACGTTGTCTAAGATTTTTCTGTCGTAGGCTATGTCGGCTCCAGATTAGATGACGTTGTGGACGCATGCTGAATCTAGCAACACAGTAGCAAGCATTCCGCCGCGGAAAACCGTCGCCATCCCGGAGTTGTGGCGGTTTTGCTCTGCAGTACAGGTATAAGGGGCATTGAGGTATTGCGACTGTCAACAACGGGGTTTGGCTCGATTCAGGAAAACAAGGCAATTGTCTTCGCCCTTCCGGTGTGCTCCACATTCGAGGACTGACAGTCAAACGCCAAAGCGCATCTTCAGCTAAGACAAAGTCGAGCTGTGATCCAAGACATTTCAGCAGGTTGACTTTCGAGGTACTCGAACTTTTGTGTTTCATTGTTCAGAATCGAGATTGAGATTACAGCTTGAACACTTTCAATTGATGGAATGAGCAAGGAATTCGTCGAAGATTAGTGTAATACTGCTCAGAGCATCTCTACTGGCATGCTAAAGTTTCGAATGCATTGCTAGACATATTGAATGCGTTGGTACTCGAGCCCTCTCCTCTCCGAACCACATGAGATGGTCGCCCATCGCTCTCCAATACAACCTTTTCGGATATGCTTCTGTCGTGAGGTTTCGGCTTCTTTTGCCAGCTTAGTGAGTTCCAGCTGAGAGGAGTTTTAGTCTGATCCTTTCCGTGACGAACTCCGTTGTAGGCTTGATTATATTCAGAACTTTAAGCAATCCTACTCAGAAAATTACATGGATACAGATGGCCGATATGAAGTTGGCAGCTGTCCTCGTGACGACAACCTCTTTGCTCGTGCACATTCGAGACCCAGACCTGACATCCGACTTCGCAGTTTCACCAGGAACGAATGCTTCTGCTCTCAGAGAAATCTCAGAGACTCAGTTGCTGCTGACGGCTCCTTCACATCCACGACCGTCTCCACCTTAATTTCCCCGCCCAATCCGGTATCGGCCGGGACCTTCGTGGATGTGAAGGTGCCTACACTGACACTGAGGCCAGTAAGTAAGGGCGTCGGTGTCACCATCCTAGAGTACAGCCCCAACCTTTGAAACCTTCCCGCGTTCCATCATGTGGATAAGAGCTCATCTACGTAATGTCCGGACACTTCCATGTCCATCTTGTCTTATCGTATCCGCCAACAAGCTTCTCACTGCCATCCTGGACTAGGGTGATGTATTCGTGTTCCCTCAGGGTCTTCTTCACTTACACATCCACCATGTCCAGTAAGCACCCTGCCCACACAAGCCCCTGGCACCATATCTGCCGACCCTCTGCCCAGAACAACTTCAATTGTGGTGTTAATTATGAGGTTCTCTGCAAGGCTGAAGTTGCAGGCTCCATTCAAGCCGGCCACGTTATCATATCCTGCAAGCAGCAGAAGCTGGTCTCTTATTTCACATTGACTATTTGTCTGTTTTATACCTTCTCATGTTGAGTCGGATCTTCTGTACATCAGATTAATGTTATGAAGGTCTTGAGCAGATTTCACAAGGTCAGCCCACCACCTCCTCTTAGACGACTTTAACATGTCCATCGCTCATCAGAGCTAACAGGAAGATTGGTATTTATTGGCCATATTCTTGAGTAAAGTGAACCGCATGGTCGTTATACCTGTTAACCGTTCAGTGTCAGCCTGTAAGGATTGAAATTCTTCCGTCCTTTTAGCTAAATAAGGTCGTACCCATTTTATCTTGCCTGCAGAACATTCAAGTTTTCCTTATTTGGCCATAATTTTTTGACACGTACAGAGTATTGCGGTTCTCAGGTAAACGGTTGAACGCACATGTATTTGGAGCCCCGTTCTGGTTGTCGACGACGTTTACTATCTAGCGAATTCCACTTTTGATTCTAAAGCCTATCAGCGAACTTCATGTTGTTTGTAAAACGTGACAAGGCACATTTAAAAATTATAAAATATGTCCGTATAAAAAATGTTTAGTATAACTACATTTGACCAGTATAGCGTGAAGACTGGATCTTACTCCATTGGGAGAAACCATAAGACTTCCTCCAATTACACACTTTGTGTATACTGAAGGAGTAAGGAGTCGTGGTGCTCTCTGGTGTCAACACGACGACTATACACTTCACTATACACCGAGTGTGCAAGTTCAGCTTCAAGTTTCATGCCGCTCTTATTGCCACGCCCACTGCTTACACCAGCCTTCCAGAGATACTTTACTGCGCTGCATTTGTGAAATATCTCGAAGTGTCCTATGATCATGTCCGTCTGGAAAATCTCCTTATCTCTAATAAGGAGGAGTAGATGATCCGCTCCATTCATTTCTGCGCATGAGGTCAAGCGCGCTCTGAGCGGCTCTAGGACATTCTTACATTATCCAGACTTGTACGAGGAACGGTCAGTGAGGTCTCTATTACAACTATCGGAATAGAGACTGTGGCACACTCACCCTTCATGCTCAGAATGAATCATTTTCTCTCAACATGTGACGCTCACGATCGAAGACGAGACTCGAGGTATAATCTACTGAAGGTTCTTCCGAAATTTAAAGAGGTTTGACTCAAGCAGAGACTATTTAGATGAGGACTCACTGTGAAGAGTAGATACGATGATACCCTGTTGTTATTTAGCACTAACTGGGCAGTTCCTGCCCAGTTATTGACTTTAGCACTAACCGGTGAAGAGGAAATTGGATTCATGCTAAGAAATAGTTTAACTTGTATAACCCTACATAATATTACTGGCTCTTTACAGTTATCATTATAGGGTTGCTTTTAGGGCTGAACATTCTCTGGTCAGTAGAGTTAATGTGTCTTAGATTGATTATTGCAGATAATTTCATCCAGTTAGTAAACTAATATGATCAAGCGTCGACTTTTTAAAATAACATTCACTCAAGTATAGATCACACCTGATGAGTTTACTTCTTGTGTCATGTTAAAAGTGGCGGTAATGAAAGTATTGCATATTCATTCAAATTGAAACTCGGTTCAATGAAAGCGATTTCATTACTAGAGTGAGTGTGAGTGAGCTATACAATTGCAACACAATGTTGATGACTATGAAAATATGGATAAAAATAACTATGATAGTGAACATATAAGATCTCACTACAAATCGTTTATTTTTCCTACACACGTCAAAAAATCAGATCAGAATATGTGCTATTTGAAAATACATAAGGCGTCCTATAATAAATGGGAACAAAATGAGTTCGTGAAATGACACATGAACAAGATTTATGAGCGTTTTCTGAACTGAATTTCGATAGCTTTGTCACTGTACTAGTGAAGACGGTAGGCTATTTAACCTTTTTCCTTGACCAGTCATTTCCGTTCAAGAGGTTGCGAGGCTACATTGTCTCCCACTTTCTCGGGCCGGATTACCTCATCGACGGTACCAGCCCATAACCAGTACTGAAAGATATGATACGTTAAATAAGAGTACGCTTTAAGAAACTATACATGTCTCTTGTCATCATTTTCTTGAGCTATATCTCTCTCTCTCTCCATCTCTCTCTCATGTAGAAGATATCTGCACATTCCGTCACATCAAAGCGTCCCATGTAGGATATGTGAATGGGTCATTATGTCCTTTACAGGCAATGTTACGTTGTTATCTAAATGTTGTAATCTAGCAGTCAAAACTAGAGATATAAAATGATCAACGTAGAGTCAGCAGACTTGACGACGTAGAACTCTAGAAACGGATGTCAGAAGTAGCATTCTTTTCGTTGTTAGGAAATCCAACAACAACTCAATTGCAAGTTTTCCCCTGTAGCATCAATCTTCCACGAAATGGGAGGTGCAGTTTTCATTGATCTCCAGACCTCGACTGCTGGTTAGCTCATAGCCATCCAAAACGCAAGGCAACTCCGTTCCATCCTTGGGATGCAGATTTGACCATCCAGCTAGATAATGACCCAGTTCAGCGGGAAGTACGAGCCAATACCTCCCTTCCTGGAACTCCGGGGAAAGGAAGATGGTAGATCTGGATCTTGTCTGCATGTGAAGATAGAGGTGTCAAAGACCTTTTCGAACCAAACCTATTTGAGCAGGATTGGCAGCGAAGTTTGCCAACTGTAAGAGCGAGCTTAGAACTAGGCACTGCCTATCTGGACTCCAAAAGCTGCTGTGTGTTGCGATTGCATTCATGGAGCCCTACATTTAGTAGCATGCTTGCTCTGAAGACAAGAAAGGATATAGAAGATATCTAATGTTGTCCACATACTGAAGTCGATGCGTTGTCGAATGCTTTTAGAAGATTTGCCAAGAATAGATAACACGGGATTGCAATAACTAGGCCGTGTCGCCACGAGATGTCTTTGATTTCCCTGTCCCCAGTGATGTAGGTAATCTGCACTCATGCGGGGTATAGGGACCGCACTATCTGCGGCCTGTACACTTTGGACCATTGTCTTGTGACAGAAGGTCGTGTGTGTGCGAATTCAAGAGCGCGTGGAACTCGTTCTTCGGAATTGCATCAAGTAACATTCGACGAAAGCCCTCAGTTTGGCAGTGAATCTGCACGCCCAATTTGTTGTGTTGAGTGCAGCATACAGACGAATTCATATACGAATTCACTTTGCTGTAAAAAACGATAAAACAACCATTCACAGTGTCAGTCAGAGATCATCATCATAATCAAGTGAATAGTAAGAACAAATAGGGCAGTAGACTTCCGCAAGACATATCTTGCTTGTACTTTACCTGGTTGAGGTCCAAGGTGGAGAAACATATGGTGCAATTGTTTTCAACTCTTCGCCCACGCGCTGTCACTACAGGCTGGAAAGGGTACGCGAAAGTCCCTACGTGGATTCCATAGAGGGAAACAGTCGAATCCAGTGTAGAACTCACCCGGGTATATAAAGAGGCATTCAGAATCAAGTTTAGAAGTGAAGAGAATCTCACTCCACAACGCAGGCAACTGAAGTGCTTACCTTCTCTAAAACGGGCGCAGTTTTCTCAAGAAAACGGTACTGCCCAATCTAGAATTATTCTTGCTTCTTTGTTCCACTTATTACGAACAGATGCTTACACAGGTCCGCGAGGGCTCTAATGTATGTGTTGGGATCCTGATTCAGAACGATTAGCTAGCTGATTTGTTTTCGTGCGATATCTACGAAGTACTGCTTGAAGACATCATTTATTCTAACGAATTTCACTGCGGACATCTTGCCTGCAGATCTACAGCTCGAATTTTTTCAGGAGTCATGGCCACCATGAAGCTGATCGTTGTCCTCACGATGACAACCGTGGTTGTCGTCTGTGCCCGTGACCCCGAGCTCACAACCGATTTCGCCGTCCCAGTAGGAACGGACGCTTCCATGATCACTGGAGATTTCTTCACATTCACGGGCCTCAGAAACTTCTCCGCTATGCCAAGCACCTTCGGCGCCCAGAAGGTTACGCAGATCGAATTCCCCGCTCTCACTGGACTCGGCGTCGGTGTGACCCTCCTCGAGTACAAGCCCAACACTCTGAACCCTCCCCACACTCACCCCCGTGGAACAGAGCTCATCTACGTCATGGCCGGACGCTTGGACGTCGGCCTCATCGACTCTGCCAACAAGCTGTACTCCGCCCAACTCCAAAAGGGTGACCTATTCGTGTTCCCTCAGGGTCTTGTTCACTTCCAGATCAACATGTCCAAGAAACAGACTGTTCGCGCCATCTCTGCTTTCGGTAGCTCCAACGCCGGCACCATCTCGTTGCCCAGGAATATCTTTGGCTCTGGCATTGAGGACGAGGTTCTCCTCCAGGCTTTCAAAATCACTTCCGCTGAGTTGATGATGTTGAAAGCTCCATTCATGCCGACCATGTAAATTGACAGATGCAAGAACTGAAATCTTAGGGAGGGTAAACTTCATAGTGCATGCGTAGTGGTTTCTTAAACTCTGCCCCACAGCTTGATGCCAGTAATTCCAGGACATCTTTCATTTAAAAGTTTCTGATTTTCACCAGATTGTATGCTCCCTGTCAGGGAGCTTCGAAGTAAATTGGCTTCGCGAATTGTATACACTTAGAATTTCTGTAATCGCTTCAGGCAGTAAATTATTACCGTTCCCTCTGGCAAATTAACGGATAAACGATTGTTCAGTTTCGAAAATTTTATTTGTCAATTGCGATTTGTATAGTTGTGAAAGGCTAATCAATGTTACTTCAAACTCTTTAACACTATAACACTATAAACTGGAATCATCTAGTGTATCGACATCGTGTTCTGTAAGCTACACATAGCCCTCAGTGGATTCACTGTATTCCTGAAACGAAATGTCGAACGAAAAGTTTTTCTCTCTACATGAAGACAATATCTATAATCTCAAATTCGCAATCCTACAACTTAAACATATGTCTGCAGCGTGAAGAACGTGATGTATGAAGCCAACGTCTGTTAGAAATATGTTGATAAATTAAACTTGCAAACTAAAAATTTCTGAATGTAGTAAACGCCCACGCATCCTAATAGAAAATATTAAAAATATCCAAAATTTCTGCATGTGTAACAGATATTCATATCATGTAGAAACAATAATGACGATATATTGTAGCAACTGCGATCATTAGAAGGAAAATACTTCACAAGACCATCCAATGTATAGGAGGATGAAAAGTGAAGAGAACGCTAGGAAAAGTTAAATAGTTAACAGTTCAATAGATACTCTCTCAAACCAACACTCACATTTCTTCCAAGTCCAATACAGCAAAGAGTATTTTCGCATACTGCTCATAATCGTCCAAATTGAAGGGAATTTAGTATCATCCACACTGTTTTTATCAAGAACATGCAGAATGCGATAATAATATAAGCTTGACAAAAACTTAATCCTGATATAAGCTTTCAAAGCAGTAAAATGTTAAACCGCTCGCAAAGAGTGCTTTTGATTTACATATTTTTACTACCCTGGCGTGGGAGATATATAGATATTAAACCTTCTAGCTTTTATCTGATTTGGTGGTAAGTGTATTACTTTTCTTCGTTTCTTCTGTAGCATATTTTCATTAATTTTCACTGTTTAGTAAGGCATTTCCAATGCCTTATTAAACAGTGTTAAACAAAGGGGAGTATTAAAGTTAGTGTATATGATATGGGATAATACTGTTATATGTGAATTGTTTTAACTTCACAGTTTAGTATTTTGGTAAATATTTTTTGTTGAGTTGCAATTGTCTCAGTTATCCATTATAGACTAATGGAACTTTCACTTATCTTTTTATGTTGGCCACTTTCTTCCGTGAATATTGGACTCTGCTGTGTTGGTTACTTCACTATCATCGTGTCCTTACTAAAACATTTCTTAGAATTCTCCAACCTTCTTCTCCTGCTGAACATCGAAAGTCCTGGTCTTAAAAAGTTCAAGGCAACTGAACGAATGTACTTTTGTTCGCAGTTGACAACATACTATAAAATGTTCGGTGTTTAGATATTATCTACCGCATAGCAAGGCCATGAATTGTTCTAGGTCCAAACATTCAAGACGATCAAGCGGAAATTCTGTTTGCAGTTTGTTCATTCTCGGGGTTTTGACTCAAGTGGTTAGTGTGACTGGAGCCATGCAAAGGTATTGCGACTTTGACCAAAATTTTCTCTTCTACATTTTATTTTCTCCATTCGCTACCTACACGGAGCTTTGAACATGTTCAAGTTACAGAATTGCGAACTTGACTGTGTGGAGATTTCCATGATATACAGAGAATGCACTACACTGTATACATTGAACTTCACGAAAACAATGGATTCCATCATGGCTGTAGTAACTTGCAGAGCAGGATGGAGATAGATAAGAAGTTCCAGTTGTGAAGTGTTTGTAATAATAGCCACTAGGTTTTCAAGACCACGTGGACGGAAACTTCTTGTGACACACTGAAGACAGTGAAATGATGGAACCTAGTCGTTCGTTTCTCCCACTGTTTCACAGAGGTAGATGGAACAATTACACTAGCTGTAAGCGTTTTCCAACACTGTCTAGAAGCATTTTCGAAGACGTTTTGGTCTGTACGATTCGCGAAGTCGACATTCACTACACACCCTGACAAGCAGCACACCTCTTCTGGTGAAACTATTCATGAAGCATGTCCTACAGCTGATCCGCACCAAGCTGATGGGGAGAGTTTCTTAAACTAGTGAGCATGCACGATGCACTTCACCCTGGTCATATTTTCAGGTCTTCCCTACGATAAAATTTTACATAGTTGGCATGAATGGAGCTTTCAACTTCATCAACTCGGCGGAGGTGATTTTGAAAGCCTGGAGTAGAACCTCGTCCTCGATACCAGAACCAAAAATATTTCTGGGCAATGAGATGGTACCGGCATTGGAGCTACCGAAAGCAGAGATGGCGTGAACACTCTGTTTCTTGGACATGTTGATCTGGAAGTGAACAAGACCCTGAGGGAACACGAACAAGTCACCCTTTTGGAGTTTGGCGGAGTAAAGCTTGTTGGCAGAGTCGATGAGGCCGACGTCCAAGTGTCCGGACATGACGTAGATGAGCTCTGATCCACGGGGGTGAGTGTGGGGAGGGTTCAGAGTATTGGGCTTGTACTCGAGAAGGGTCACACCGACGCCGAGTCCAGTGAGAGCGGGGAATTCGACCTGTGTAACCTTCTTCGAGCCGAAGGTGTTTGGAGCAGCAGAGAAGTTTCTGAGACCTGTGAATGTGAAGAAATCTCCAGCGATCAAGGAAGCGTTCATTCCTATTGGGACGGCGAAGTCGGTTGTGAGCTCAGGGTCACGGGCCCAGACGGCCACGACGGTTGTCATCATAAGGACACCGATCAGCTTCATGGTGGCCATGATTCCTGAAAATTCGAGCTGTCGATCTGCAAGGCAACATGTCCGTGTTGAAATTTGAAATGATACCACAACCAGTAAACAAAACGTATCTCACAGAATCAAATAACTTAGCTGATCGATCTGAAATCAAGATCCCAACTCACAGATTCCAATCTGTAAACATGTAAAAAATACTAGCTGGGTCTACAGAGGTGCGGTTTTAGTGCAACAAAGAAGCTTCAACGATTTCAGAGTTGTGGAGGACTCACTATGACAGCACTACGCCTCTCGGATAACAGATCAGGTCGTTTACTAGGCAGAGTTCCGATGGGAGATATTCTCCACTTAGCAACGTTGTACCAAATGCTGAATGCCCCTCTTTATACCCGAGAGATTTCTACACTGGTTTTGGCCGTTTCCTTCAATGGATTCCATGTAGGGAGCCTCGTGTGAACTTCCCGGCCTGTCACTGCAGCGTGTGGCGAAGGGTCGGAAACAAGGTGCAGCATCTGTTCTGCCATGGTTGACCTCAACCAGCTCGAGAATAAGCGACCTAGTCTTGAGAAAAAGTGATTGCCTATTGGTTCTTTCTATTCCTGGGATGACGATGACGTCTGATCTGACACTGGGAATTGTAGTTTAATAGGCTTGCCCACCCCAGTGCACATGAAACTGTGTGTAAACCACACTCCAACTTTCAAACTGAGTGCTGAAGTGTCACATACCCACCATTTCTATACACATCCACCGCTGAATTTTGGTCCACTCTTATTGGCTGACTACTTAACTTGATTCTATCTGGGAATTGGGCTTGCAGACGTTTTCCTCTCTCCTGTATTTATATCTCTCGTCAGTAGCACGAAGTACAATTTTCCTCTTATATAAATAAACCTTTGGCATGTGACACATAATAAAGTTATTAGGTCTTCCACGAGTTTTCACATATAGACAGCTACAAGCACATGAAGAGGGCTACACATGGAAATGGGGGAACGGGACGGTGAAAAAGAGAAGAGAAGGAAGCACTCGGAAAATTTTCTTTCCTTAAAATCTATCGGATCAAATATTTTGAAAGTCTTTTCTAAGTGAGGGGAGGCAATTTGGGAGTGGTTAAGTGTGACATCCCAATGGAAGGGGTATCTTTCGACGATTGAGGCTATTGTGAGCTTTGGTAAGTAAAACTAGCCGATATATGCTATGGAAATCTGTTCTTAAGAGTGATTCTGTTGATAGAAAATCTTCTCATTTTGTGTGTGTTGTGAGATGTGATTGTAGAAAGATAGGTGGATTACAATTGATATCTAAGAAAAATTGACAAATTATTGGATAACATTACATGATCTGTGAAGTTTTGTATTTGTTGGAGGAGCAACTGAAGAATAATAGTAAGATAAGTACATGAGGATTTATATAGCTATCAATGATACACTCGAAGATTAATAAACTGTTCTGAAAAAAGTGGTGTTCTGAACTTCTAAAATTTTCACAAAACACAACGAAGACGATTGTAAGTTACTAATGAAGTTTGAACAATAGTAAATGATTCATCTTTAAGCACTATGATTACTTTATGATAGAATTTTGATCAATTGAGATAGCCAATGAAAACTTGTGAATAAAATATCGGATTAAAATGACTCACTCAAGTAAATTTGTAAGTTAAAAGTTCAAACAGCTAAAAGTTCAAACATTTTCAATGTAGGGTTATGTCAATGCAACAACAGTTGGGATATTATTGGTTATTCAAATCGGGAGAATGCTTTTGCAATGAAATGTTAATTGAATTTAAAAATGATTAAAGTTATTCAAAAATTGGAAAAAATAGCATGTCCTGAATAAAAAATTTAAAACTTAAACGCAAAAAAATTAAACGCGAAATTGAATAATGAAATGAATATCTCCAAATAAATTTTGAATCATTTCAATTATGTCATGAGGTTTTTAATAATTTGTGTTGACTTTCAAAAAATTTACGGATGATATTGTATTTTTAATTTACTTTAATAATATTTTGAATTTATTGTGATTAAAAAATTATAGCTATGAATTGAAACATAATAATAATAATAAATATATGAATTAATTGCATATAACTATATAATATAAGATAAAATAGCCATAGGTTTTAGTATTAAAGAATTTATAAAAATAATTTAATTCTTAGGTTCAAATGTCAAAACATAAGTATTTGAAGTCCAAAAGTACTTTAGATGAGAGTTACAAAATTATGGTTATTTTTTCACACAGTTTTATGCACACAACAGAGATAATTTAATGAAAATTTCTTGCAAAAAAATTTTAATAAAAATTGGAATATGGATATTTTTAAACAAGACAAAAAATTGCAATTTTTGTGAAGTTTAGCCAAAAATGAACAACTGAATTATAAGTTCCAAAAAAAGTTACTTAATAGAGTTTTAGCAGTCGAGTATAACAGAAAATATTATAATGAAAGAATATATACATAAAAAATGTAATCAACTGAATTTATTCACACAAGATATTGAAACTTCTAAAAAATATATATTGTCATCTAGAATAAATCCGTCAGAATTTTGAATGAAATTTGCAACCAAGTTGATGAAACACTATTGTGCAGTATACGGTTATCACTTCAAAAATATAAAAAACATGTAGATTGATTAGTGAAAATGTTGGACTCCTACTTGTAATTATAGGTACAATATGGCCAAAAAAATTGCTGCAAAGAAACTACAATAGATGAAAAGTTATAAGTAGTGAAAAGTAGTGAAAAGTTGTCTATGAAGATGTCCAAATATGTGAAAAAATGATGCTACAAACAAGCTCAAAGTGGTAGTAAGGTGCTGTTAAAAATATGTTGAAAGAGATAAGAAAGTGATCATACAAATAGAACCAAAGTGGTTAGAGATATTGCTACAAAAAAGGTCAAAAAACTTATAGGCTATAAACAAGTCTTAAGATCTTTGTGCTAGATTTAAGTTTCAATTTGATTGATGTAGTTTTTAAAATGTATTTGCTATTGAATATTGACCAAAATATGCAATTGCAAGACTGCAATTAACAATTGATTTCTACAACACAATTGTTAAAACTTAATTTATGCCTTTGACTAACTAAGATTTGATTAACTATTGCATATGAATTGTCTAACTTTGAATTGCTGTAGTTAGTATTTGCATAATATGAGGAGGCTAGTCTAAGCCCATCTTGGACTCATTTGTAGCTCATTTGTACAAAATCAATTCAAGGAAAAGAGCTTGTACTCACGCTGGTTATAAAAATGTAGTAAAGTTTTTTTTATTATCTACTCTACTTCTCCCTAGTGACTGAGAATATAAGATTTTATTATACAAGTGGTATAAGAGCAAAACTTCGAGGCATTTAGTAGTATTCATAAGTTTTTCCTAAATTGTTGACGATTTTGTGACAAGTAGCTACAATTTTGGCATTTTCATTTTGGCGCATAATGCAATATTTTTTTGGAAATTTTAGCCCATTCATGTTATAACTTTTACAATTTAAATCATTTTGAAACACATTTTGTCAAAAAATGAAATTGTGAGTGAAATGTCATGAGCATTTGAAGTTTGGCAGTATTTTGATGTAGGTCTAGATGAAAGCTCGTTAAAGCTTTTACATCAGTCAATATATAGATTCTTTTAGAATTTTTTGATCATTAGACATGAGAACGTAGACTGCATTCTATTGGAAAGAGCTTGAAGAAATATTTGATTTGATATTGGTTAAGTTTCAAGTCGAGTTGCGGCAAAGAAATTAGGAATACTCAAATTTTTTTAACAATTTGAGGTGAGAGATATGATGGCTGCGAAGATTAAATAACAATTTTGTTGCAAATATTTGAAATTTAAAAATTAAGTGAATTTCATTTCAAAGAAAATAAAGAAAGTTTGGATTTGATACCAAAATGATTACGTGTTTGCTTAAGAAAGGAAAAGTTATATAAGAAAGCATCTTGGAAGCATTTGAGGTACTTCATTGAGTAATTTCCAAAATTTACATCCTTTAGAGTCATCTTTACACATCCAGGAATCTATGATACACTTTGTAAGATATGTAAGACAATTTGCTGGCCAAAAGATTCTTATCAGGACGTCAAGAGTATTTATCACAACTTTCAAACTTTTTCCAAGAAAATGAAAACTGTTTCCAACAACCGATTGAGAAATAAAATGTAAGCATGACAACTTATAAGCTTGAAGTATAAAAGTTTAACATTTTAAAATTTGATGTATGAAGTGATTATATTTTGTAGTAAAGACAAGTCAAGGGTATTGACATTTGAATTGAGAAAGGTATTGAGATCTAAGCCAAAAAAAATTAATTAGAGAAGATTGGAAAGAGCTTAAGAGCAAGTGATGAGCATGGTATTCATGTATCTTCAACCTTTTGTGGTAAAGCAATTAAAAAAACATGAGATATTTGAAAATTTGTTTAGAAACCTGTGGTGCCTAGTTTTTTTGTTTTTCTTCAAAAAATCAACAAAAATTAAATATATTTGTGTAGAAGGTAGCCGTATGAGTTAGAATGAGTAGCATTAGAGGAGTTATGATAGGATTAGTTAGTATTTGACTACGGTCAAAGATCTTAGGATCTTTGGCGTAGCCTTTTTTAGACAGTGCAAGAGCTGCGTCTTCGGCAAAGACATTGGAATCAATTCGAATTGCGCAACGGGCCGGACGACGTTTGCACGCGTCGAGGATTCTACTGGGCGCGAGAGCAGGCAATTTTAGGGCATCAAGGGTAAGTGCAGTACGAGGAGCATTTGCGCCGACATTGCGATATCGAGCAAGAACGAGCAAGAGTGAGATAGGGCAAAATATATCGACCTTGCTAGCAGCAAAGACCCGAATTAAAGACATGGCGCCGCCCAAGAAGAGTGACAAGGTGCGGAAATTGGTTGCCTTGAAGGTGCCTTACGAGGAATTACGACTCTTCAGGCGCGAGCTGAGCGAATTGCGTCTCGATCTACTTTTATGGAATTGGAATTGCATCTCGGCGAGTATTTGCAAGGAAATTATGGATAATAACAAGACCGAGGGCAAAGATCTCCGAGGTAATCCCATGCTGTGAACGATTTAGTACTAGACAAAGGTGATGGGATCGTGCGCAGCTAGCGACGGGGATCTTTTGTTCGAGAAGAGTAGCGTGGAACTCACGCGCATAGAAGAATTCTCTTACGGGCCACTCTTTAGTTCTGGGAGGCAGGGTTCGAATGGATGGAAGACCGCCAACTACAAGGATCCGAAGAGGCGGGCGATTACACTAGGAATTATGCACATCTTGCGACCGCAACCCACGACGTATGTGGGGTTCTTCGAGCGAGTCTTGAATGAACAGAGTATGCACTGGGCAAGAGTCTTTTACGATCTTGTCTGGATGAATGCGAGCTCCCGGTGGACGGGGCCGTTGGTCAATCATTTGACCCTTTACCTTGTGAATTTCTATCGAGGCATGGGACTGCTCACGGGGGAGAAGGAGAAGCGATTTCCAAGGGAACGGGAAATCTTG